CGATGGACAGTGGCCCGGCCCCGCCCCCGGCTGCTCCCGCGCTTGGGGCCGAGCGAGGAGCGCCCTCAGCCCCACCCCCATGCCGCCCTCGGCCCCGCCCTCAGCACCGCCCCTGCGTTCGGGGCGGGGCGACAAACTTCCTAGGCCCCGCCCCCTGTCGCTCCCGCGCTGGGGACCGGGGGGGCGGAGCAAGGAGCGCCCCCGGCCCCGCCCAGCGGCTCGCCCCGTGCGCAGGCTCAGCCCGCGCGTCCCGCCGGTGAGGCCGCTGCCCCAGGGGCGTGGTCGTGCAGCCAAAGAGCCCGGTAAGGGCCGCGTCTCCTTGGCGGGCCTCCCGGGAGCAGGTTATCCTGTAACGCACGACCGCCCGTTCCGCACCCTGACACCTCTTATGCAACACTGGGGCTGGTGGCGGTGTACGCGCCCGGGGAGCTCAGGGTCCAAGTCCCGCCTCGGGGCAGCCCCCCGCTGCACTGGCCGGGTGGGCGCCTGCCTTTCGGCCTTCTCTGCCTTCCAGCCTGGCCTGCCTGGACACGACCTCAGGCGACAGGCCACTGTCTTCCCCCACCCCCGCCATGGCAGGGAGCCCGCACCAGGCGAGGAGGAAGGGGTGGTGGCCCTCTTCCATTCCACTCCAGGCAATCCGCTGACCCTCCCCGGGCTTTCAGGAAAACGCAGCTGTGAGGGGCAGCGTTCATTCTCCGTGCAACGGGGATTTATTCAGACACAACGGGCCTCTGCTGTCCACACAGCAGGCCTCTAAGTCTTCCCTGTGGCTGGAGGGCTGGCGCCCTGTGTGTCCATTCCTGCTAACAGCCGGCCGGGGAGGATCCTACGCTCGCGGTCCACCTCCTGGATGCTCTCATATACATTTTCCAGGGGGTCGTGGTCCACACCCCGGCCCCTCTGCAGGGGACCCCAGGACGATCTGCCATCCTCAGGGTCTGGCTGCTCCGTGGTGGGCCCTGTATCCTTTCTTTTAGGCTTGTTGACCTTGGAGTACAGCATGTCCACCTGGAAAGAGGAAGCCACCCAGAGAGGGGTCAGCACCACCTGTCCTCCAGAGATTCACCCAGCCCCTCCCCCCCCCGCCCCCCCCCCCCCCCCGCAGCCTCCCCGCCCACCTTACCTGGGTGGCTGGGGTCACCTCAGCCTTCCCCTGGTGCCCTTGGGGGCCTTTGTCTGTCCCCTTGAGCTTCTTGACACAGGCATATTCGGCCACCACGGGTCCCAGCCCCGGCCCAGGCCTCGCCCAGCCGATGGTCAGGCGGGCCCCTGACCACACCTCAGGGCTGGCTGCCAGGCTGGCTCTGGGGAGTGCAGCCAGCCCCACGTTGGAATAAGTGGCCTCAGGGCCGGTGGGGGCCAAGGTGGCGATGCCAGGCAGGGGCCGGGGAAGCTCTTGGTGTGCAAAAGCCGAGGGTGCTGCAGGAGGCCTTGGGGTGCCTCTGTACCCCTCCAGCCAGTGTGGGTGCAGGAGGTCCATGCTGGCAGGCCGTGGGGCTGGGGGGGGGGGTCAGGGCAAAGGTCCCTCGGAGGAAGCAGCATGGCCCCGAGCAGTTTGAGGGGCCCAGCATGGTCAGGGTGCAAGGAGCAGCCCTGGCCTAGGCACCCCTCACTTAGGCCACCCCACACCCTGTGCCCCATGCTGCACCCCAGTCCCCACCCCACGTGCCTCGTCCAGCCCCCCCCCCCTTCACCTTGGCTGTGTCGAGGCCCCCGGTGCAGCTCGTGCAGCCTGGTGTCCGACTTGCTGAGGGCGCAGAGTTGGGTCGGTCTCAACGGTGACTGTGGGTGGGGAAGGCCGGTTGGCAACCTGCCTGCTCTTCCAGCCCATTCCCAGGACGCCCGGCACTCACCTCATCTGCTGGCATCAAAGCACCTTGCAAGCCTGCTCGAGGCCTCGGCACCCGCTTCCTGGGGGTGAGAGGGCCATCAGGCCAGAGTGGCAGAGTTGGGGCCAGGAGCCAGCAGCCCTTTCCTGCCTTGGCCCCTGACTTGGACCCCCGAGTTAGGGGTACAGGGGAGACGGGAATGGATGGTTGTACCTGTGGCAAGCCGTGCACAGTGCCCACAGCCCAAGGAGCAGCGTGAAACTGGCGAGGACCCAGAGGGCAGGAGGGGCCAAGGGCAGCTGCAGCCCCATCACCACACCTGGCCTGGGGTGGAGAGAGAGGGTGCTGGGGCCGGGGCGGGGGTCCCAGTCCCAGCAGCCCTGCACCTGGCTCTGCCTGGCGGTCTCCTTGCACTGACTCAGCACACAGGAAACCCCAGGCCTGCGCCCTCCTCCCCCAAGACCTCAGCACCTCTCCAGCTGGTCCCAGTGACGGGATGGGAGATGAGCTCTGCTGCTTGTCCCTATAAAGACCTTACGGGTGACATAGTACCAGCCAAGCACGGGCCAGTGAGGAGAGGTAGTCAGCTGTGGACTGACCCAGGCTTGTTGTGCCCAAACATAAGGCCTAGGGAAACCCAAGGATACACTCACTCTAGGCTGCAAGTGGCAGCCCCTGCTGGCTGGGCCTGGTGACACCCCCATGCCACCCATGCAAACCCCGGTTCCCTGTGCTGGAAAGGGCCAGAGAGGGGGCTGCTCTGGGCTCTGAGTGCTCACTCACTCACCTGGCTCAAGCCCACCCCTCCCAGCATCCCCTGACACAGGATATGTCTGTCCCCTTGCTGGGGTCCTAGCAGGGCTGTGGGGTGAGGTGCGACACCCGCCACGCGGCCCTGCTTAGAGCAGTGGGGAAGACGAGGGGGAGGGGGAAAGCCCACGTCTCCAGCTTGTTCTCCAATCCTCCTGCCCGATGGGGCTCCTGGCCCTCCAGGCTGGGTCCTCACACCCCACAGATGGCCCGAAGGACGCTGGGTGCCAGTGCAGTACTTACCCTGGCCTGGGCCCGGCGCTTTCACAGCCTCTGGGCGGGAGCCGGCAGCCTGGGCGTGCCCCAGCTGTGCCCCCACCTCACTTCCTGCTGTGTGTCTCAGCGCCTTCCTACCTAGCCAAGGCCTAAACTACTCCCCCCAGGTCTAGAAGTGACTCGGTGACGGAGACTGACGTTTCCACTCTGATCACTGCGTGGCCACCCTCCTCAATGTCTCCACTGTGCAGGTGATGAGACCCCTTAATTAAGGAGACCATGGCCAAGTGCTGGGGCCCATGGTGGGATGAGGCCACACCAAGCACCAGATAACCTCAGATGGCCACTACAGGACCCCATCTCCCACCACAGCAGCCCACATCCCACCTCACGCTAGAGATGTCTGCTAACATGGTGGGCAGCCCCAGCCGGAGAAGTGGGGATGCCCATCTTTACAGCTACCTCCAGACCCCCAGAAGCCAGCCCACCTGTCCTCACAGCCCCTTGCAGATAACCCGCTCCTATAGCAGCCAAATGTCCACTGAGACGTGTCATGAAATCACTTTAATGTCCTAGCTCAAGAAGCTTTAAGATGCTGGCAAACATGTCCAGAGGGGACCCCCACCCTCTGTCCAGTGGACAGGGTCCAGGCCAGCAGCACAGGGCTAGGGTAGGGTCCCAGGGTCTGTTCCAGAAGCTGCAGGTGACCCTAGAATTCAGTCATCTTCCTGTGGGTGTCCGCCTTCCTCTGCTCTCGCTGCAGCCCCGCTTCCTGGTCCTGAAGCTGCCCAAGCTGCCGCTGGGCACCCGCCAGCTTCTCCTGCAGCCGGGCTGCCGCCACACTGTGCCTACAGAAGGCCTGTAGTTAGTGTGGGCTGCACCTGCCACCCCCGAGCCCAGGTGCCCCAGTACCACCTCCTGTTGGCCAGACCCTCCTACAATCAGCATGCCACTCAAAGGTCAGCCTGAGCCCCTCTATGCTGTGTAACCCCCCCGCCCAGTACAAACCCTAGTACTGGCCCCCTGATCCCCACTGGCACCCTCACTACCGCCCCCCTTCCTGTACACGCCCCGAATACCGGCCGGCATTACGGGCGAGGGCCTCCTGGATACTGCGGATGTCCCGCTGGGTCCGCCCGATCTGCTCCTCAGTCTGAACAAGCCGCAGACTCAGGGCCCTCTTGGTACTCTTGCTGGCGTGGTAGGCTTCCTTGCCACCCCTCGCCCCCAAGGCATCCGCCCTCCCCTCCAGCACTCTGGGAGCCGAGGCCTGTAGCTTCTCATTTAGGAAGTCAAACACGTCCCGAGGTGGGGGTTGGCCCGCAGGCGCAACTCCCTTTCCCCTACACTTGGGGGGCCGGTGGGGACCAGCCTTGCCCCCCTTCACCCTCCTCTGGAGGGCCTCTGTGCACTGGTCCAGGGACTTCCCTCGGGGCAGCACCACAGCATGGATGGGCTCCACCCGGCCCTGTGAGTTTCGGCCCAGACCTGGGGAGACATGGCACTGGCTGTGCTGCTGGCCCCTGCCCTCCCAGGACAGTACCCACCCCTCCAGTCCCCCCCAAGGGCAGGGTACCCACCCTTCCCATCCACTACTCTCAGGATGGTGCATCCACTCCTACCAGCCCCCACCCCCTCAGGACAGCACACCCACCCTTCCCAGGCTCATAGCCCATCTTGGCCAGGAGTCTGGAGCCAATGCCTCGAGTGTGCACCTCCCAGCCAGCGAAGGCTGCTCTGCTGATCCCATCTGCTCCGGCCTCGTTGTCCACAACTACAGAGCACAGAGGACAGCACCGCACTGGGCCGATGCAGCCTGACCCAGAGGGCCCAGTGGGCACCCTGGCTCCACCCTGCCCAGGCCTGCTTGGGCTCACGTGACTACCAAGCAGTCCCTTGGCAGAGCTTCTGCCCCATGCTCTCTGTCGCCACCTGCCTGGCCACCCACTGACATGCAGCAGCACAGCCTCTTCTCTCTGACTCCACCAAGGCAGCAGGCTCCGCCTCCCATCGCCATCAAATGGGGCTTCAGACAAGGTCAACCTAGGGCATGAACCCTGACAACTCCACCCGCCTTCTTCCTAGCTGACCTGGATGGTGGTGGCATCTTGCACGTGGCGGGGTGTGTAGTGTGTGTGTGTGTGTGTGTGTCACCCACTCTGTGCCTCCCTAACAGACACCCTCCCCATACCCATGTCCCATGGTCACTTCCTGTGCATCCATTTTCTCCATGGCTCCTGCACCAGCTCCGACACAGAGCCCACTGCTGCGGCCGTGTCCATCCCGTCTGCTCCCCTGCAGCTCCTGGTGGCGCTCAGCACCAGCCTCTCCCTCTGCACTTCCACCCCCCTCCCACAGGCAGAGCTCCTCCCGCCCCACCCCCACACCTCTGGCATAACTGGAATCATCGGCGCCACCGTCAGAATCAGAGGACTCTGTGGGTTCCATGCGCAGTGGGGGCAGCACGCTGTCCCCCTCCACCACGACCTCCTTCAGCAGCAGGGAGTCAAATTTGACTGTGTAGAAGCCGCCATCCACATCTGAGGTGGGACAGGACAGGTTTCAGGTGAGCAGCCCCAGTGGACAGGAGTGGATCCAGAGGGGTCCACTCACCTAGGACCTCAGAGCCAGGTCCTAATAGCTGACTCAAGGGAGGTGGAAAGGACCACATGGCAGTAACATGGCAGAAACACAGGAAGGGCTGCCCAGGAAGGGCCCTTAAGGAGTACCCATGGGTCAGGGAAATCATCAAAAACAGAAGGAATGCCAGCCAACACCCTTGACTCCACAGGGACATGGGCCACATCACTAGGGCCACCGATGCCTTACCCGTGACCCGTGCTGGGTGCCACAGGCCATCCCGGTGCTTGGCCAGACACGCAGAGCCAGCCTGCAGCGAACTCAGGTCTGGGTCTCGGAAGGGGCGAAGCTCGTCCACAGAGACCACCTGCCCATGGGAGAATCTGCAGAGAGGGGCACAGGGGTGGGGCTCAGACAGGCACACTGGCCCCACTACTGGGGACCTTGTCCTGGGAGGGGCATCCACGTGGGCACACACTTGTGTGTGTATACACACACATATACACACCATTCAACATACATATACACATGCAAATACAGATGTGTGCACACACGTATATATGCACACACATATCTATACATACACACACATGCACACATACATATGTACACACAAGATATATCTACTCCCACATATACGTGCACAGACACATGTACTCACATACACGTGCATGATCATATACAGACATACACACGTACAGACATGTACGTGCACACACATACATGCATATGCACACACATACAGAAATAAATATATACATATACACACATGAACATATAAATATATGCACACATACACATGCTTTCACTATATACACTCACACATACATATGTACACATGCACACATGCATATACACATAGTACACATACACTCATACTGACACATATATGTGTACACAAACACATACACAGAAACACATGCATACACTCACAACACCCCTTTAGTCACACAGATATACACAGATATAGACACACGTACACATACATTCAGTCTACCACACGTGCATATACACACGTGTATACACACACACAAGTGCACACACACACACTCTAACACTCTATCAAGATGGTCTTAGCTACTTGAGGAAGATGCCTTGGGCCGACGCCCAGCTTTCTGAGCCGCAGTAACAATTTGCCAGATAAGCTTGTGATCACAACTTCCCATGGACACTCACCCAACCTGAAGCTCAGGTTACTAAGCAAGGTATGTGTGTGTTCATGTGTATGTAGGTATGCATGTGCATATACATGTGCATGCATATGCACACAGCAGTGTGCTTGAGCCCTCCCAGAGGGAGAGGGGGAGGGAGGGAGCGAAAAGAGAAGGAGAGAAGGAGGGAGAAAGAGAGAGAGGAGGGGAGGGAGAGGGGAGGGAGGGAGACAAAGGGAGGGAGAAAAGGGGGTCCGGGGAGAGGGTGAGAGATCCAGCAATGTACATAAAGAATTACACACCATGACCAAGGCTGGTACAGCAGTCAAAGACCAATGTAAACCCATCATGTCCACAGGCTACAGGAAAATCACATGATTGTATGAATTGATGCAGAAAAGGCACCTGACAAAATCCAAACCCAGTTTGTCATAAAAAAAACAAAACAAAACTCTCTCAGTAAACTAGGAATAGAGGGGAACTTCCCCAACTTGATAAAGAAAATTTACCAATAACCCTATAGCGAACTCCATTCTTAATGTCAAGGAATTAGATTCTTTCCTACTAAGATTAGAACAAGGTAAGGATGCCCTCTCTCACCACTCCTATTCAACATTACTGGAAGTCCTACTGAACACAATTACTCAACAAAAGGTATACAAATTAGGAAGGAAAAATTAACTATCTTTGTTCACAGGTGATAGGACTGTCTATGTAGAAAGTCCCAAAGAATTGACAACAACGAAAATAAACTCCTAGAACTAATAAGTGAGTAGAGCCAGGCTGTAGGGTACAAGGCTACTACACAAAGCCAATGCCTTCCCTAGACACCAGCAATGAGCAATTGCAATTTCAATGTCTAGACACAACAAGGAGCTCTGGTGGCACAGTGCCTAAGGTATCTGAATGCCAACCAGAAGGTCAGTGGTTCAAACCCACCAGCCCCTCCATGGGAGGAAGATGAGGCAATCTACTTCCATAAAGATTTACAGCCTTGGAAACCCAATGGGGTTTCCATGAGTCAAAACTGACTGGATGGCAGTGGGTGTCTGGTTTAAACACGACACTGACATTAGCGCACACATAAACAAATGAGAAGAATGAAATACTTAGTGTGGTGAAATGAGTTGAGTTCCTTTATGTGACCTTTTGCCTTGGTTCATTGGAAAAACAACTTGAGAGGTTTTTCCTCTAAGCCATGAGGAGTTAGCTTTATCCTAGTTTTCCATCCCAGAGAATTTCTTACTTTTGTCCAGGTTGACTGACATTTCCTGGGTAATTTGTAAACAACCTGTGGTTTGATACTTTTCTTCTGGTCCAGGGCTGCAGCCTGCCCTGGGACTGCTATGCACCTTGCAGGGATTGGTCAATAGAGTATGCATATGAAATGACTACAGACTATGCAAATGAAGTGTCTGTGGCCTACCAAGAGTGGAGAGATGGTTGGTCAGTTCATGGTCTTGATAGGAGGGCCATGCCTTGAAAGTGATAAAAACCAAAGAGAACCAAACTCACTGCAGTCTAATCGGATCTGACTCATAGCAACCCCTCCTTGGGTTTCCAAGGCAATATTTCTATGGAAGTAGATTGCCCAACTTTCGTTCCAAGGAGTGGCTGGTGGGTTTAAACCACCAGCCTTCTGGTTAGCCGTCAAATGCCTTAGGCACTATGCCACCAGAGCTCCTTTGAAACTGATGAAGAGTTTGCTTATATCTGCAGCCAAACCACAAAGGTCAGCAGACAGAAGAAAGGAGAAAAGAAAAAAGAAGAAAAGGCAAAAAGGCAAGCAACAGCAAGGAGTGAGAGGTGAAGAACCTCCTGGAAGAGCTGTAACACTGGCCAAAGGCCACAATACTGAAAAGAGCCACAGGCCCAGAAGAGGCCCTGTGGCGGGCAGTGGGAAGAGGTCCAGGAGGGGGCCTTGCAGCAGAGTTGGCAGTGATGGCAGAAACCTGCTGCTAGGGATATGGCTGAGCAAAGCTGCTGCAGTGGCTCTGAGCTGGGTCAGTCAGCAATGGAGAGGCCAATGGAGAATGGGCTGTCCTGAGGGGGCACAGATCAGAGGGGTGCGCTTGTCCGAGAGGAGGGTCAGCCGAGAGTTGCTGAGAGAGCTGTCCTGACGGGAAAGTTGTGTTCTCTCATTCCAGGAACACGCCAGGCTTTGCCCACTTGCTTCCTCATCCTGATTCCAAGTTGTAGTCTGTTGTCCTTGATTAAGAATTGAACCTGCTACTTCCTTAGTAACCGTAAGTACAGTCTGTGAGCTGTGTGTGGCCACTGCAATGGATTATCAAACCCAGCAGAGAAGGAGAGAGTGCCATGGCAGGAATGCTGGTGTCTGAATTAGTGAAAAGGTTGGAGAGAGGAGGTGTGTCTGACCTCCATCTCATAGGACTTATCTTCAGGCTGATCTTGATTCTCCTTTTCCCTCCTGAAGTTAGACAGGGTCTGATGCTACTACTACAGTTTCACACTTAAGTATAATCTGAGAAAATATATATAAGACCTATGTGAGGAAAACTACAGAATTCTGATTAAAAGAAAAAGTTGTAAATAAATGAAGATATATTCCATGTTCATGGACAAACCAAAAACCAGACCCACTGCTATCAAGTTGATTCCAAGTCATAGTGACCCTTTAGAAAAGAATGGAACTGCCTCATAAGGTTTCCAAGGCTATAAATCATTGCAGAAGCAGATAGCCACATCTTTCTCCAGTGAAGTGGCTGGTAGGTTTGAACAACCAACCTTTTCTTTAGCAGCCAAGTGCTTTAACCACTAGGTCACCAGAGCTTTTGTTCACAGATAAGAGGACTCGGTATTATTAAGATGTCAGTTCTCCGCAACTTGATCTATAGATTCAGTGCAATCCCCATCAAAGTACCACCAACTTACTTTATGGATACTGACAAACGGATTCTGCGTGGGAAGACAAAATGCCCAGAAGAGCCAATATAATACATAAGAAGAACAGAGTTGGAAGACTGAAATAACAGAACTTCAAGACAGCTACAGTGATCGAGACAGTGTGGTAATGGCGACAGGACAGCCAGATCAAGGGCACAGACAAGAGCCCAGAGTAGAGCCACAGAAATACAGTCAACTGATCTTGAGCAAAGTAGCAAGACAATTCAATGGCGAAAGGATGGTCTTCTGCACAAGCAGTGCTGGAACAAATGGGACACCCACATGCAAAAAATCAACCAAGACACTGACTGTACGCAGAAGTCAGAATGGACCACAGACCAAAACGTAAAACGCAGCATCAGAGAACTGCCAGACAGCAACGTAGGAGAAAATCTCAGCCATCTTGGATTTGGTGATGAGGTTTTTTTGTTTGTTTGTTTGTGATGAGTTTTTAGATAAAACACAAAAACACAACCCATGAAAGAATAAAAATCATTAAGTTGGATTCATTTAAACAAAAAACTTGTGCTTTACAAAAGAAACTAGTAAGGCAGTGAAAAGAAAGGCCACAGACTGGGAGACATCTGTAAAACAATCGCCTGATAAGGGCTTAAGCAAAACAGGACTGATAAAGAATCTGTAGCCAAAATACACAAAAACCCCAAAACCAAACTCATGACCGTTGAGCCATGATTCCGACTCATAGCAACCCCCATTGGGTTTCCAAGGTGATAAATCTTCCTTCCACAGAGCTAATGATGGGTTTGAACCACCAGCTTTCTGGTTAATAGTCAGATGCTTTAGGCACTGTGCCACCAAAGTTCCTTAAAATATATAAAGACCTCTTAAAACTCAATAATAAGAAAAAAATACAATTTAAAAATGAGCAAAAGATCTGGACAGACTCCTTACCAAACAAGATACAGGGATGGCAAATAAGCACATGAAAAGACGCTCAACATTCTATGTCATTTAAGGAATTGTCAACCAAAACAAAGTGTTATCACTCCACACTCGTCACTGTTCGGTGCCACTGAGTCGGTTCCGGTTCACGCACACCAGAATGAAACACTGCCCGGGCCTGAACCATGCTCACGATCTTTGCTCTGCTGGAGTCCACTGCTGCAGTCACTGTGACAGCCCATCTCACTGAGGGTCTTCCCCTTTTTAGTGACCCTCTACTTCACCAAGTATGACATCCTTCTCCAGGGACTGGTCCCTTCTGACAATGTGACCCAAGTATGAGAGATGAGGTCTGGCTAGCCTCACTTCTAAGGAGCATTCTAGCCGCACTTCTTCCAGAACAGATTTGTTCATTCTTCTGG